ACTTTTAAAAATGAGGACATTTGTTTCAGAGCTCTGAATATGAAATCCAAATTACCAACACTTTCCTGGTGTTTTGTCTAAAAATTCAAAGACTTTTTTTGTTGATGTACGTATTGTGTGTGACCCCAGCTGGTTGGTCTGTGCTTCCCATCAGCTATGGTTTCCTTCAAACTGGCTGTGACAGATTCTATAGATTCTCTGGTTGACATTGTTTCTGATTATCTTTGCAACTAAGCTGCAGACCTAACAGATTTAGTTATACAGCAAAAAATCACTAAACCCTCTTTAGTTTCATATTTGTATAGGAGTCCATGTTGTTTGTATGAAGTTAAGCTATTTAGGATGCCACATAACGATTGTCTTGTGGGATGGTTAGTTAGCGGGTGCATGTGAGCATACATATACATAAACATGAATAACTTTGTTCTGTGACTGCCTGAAGCTGAAGATCATTTAAATTGAATTTTTCTTTGTGCACGCAAGTAAAAATATTTTGCAAATGCCAAGAAAAATAATAGTTATATAGTGATCATGTATTTCTAAATATGAAAGAGTAGCAACACTGGTGGTTTTTCTTTGTGAGAAACAACAATAGTGGTGGCTGAGGGATGGAAAAATAATTTATGTAGAAGCAAAGTGCTTTTGTTCTAAGAGAAACATACATATGTCCACTGACAGATTTTTATTTTGAATTTGCAGCAGTGATGAGCATGCTCAGTTTGTGGTGGTTTTATATATATTGCACTTAAAACCTGTCTGTGAGAGTTTTAAGTGGGTTTCTTTCCCATGTGCTTGGTTTTCCATAGGTAAAATGGAATAATGACACTGACCTCCTTTGTGCTTTGAAAGTACTGCTGAGAAACATTATATAAGAATTGAGTATTATTATACAAATCATTCTAGTTTGATCCATCTCTGCTGACCTTTTTCATCGATGCAGTAAGATTACCGTGACTAGGAGGCTGATGGGTCTCATTGTGTTCAGCTTATCACTGTACGCGCTGCTGTTTTTCAGTGGAACATAAATCAGTGTATCTTTTTTGTCCCCAGATGATGGACGTTATTAAGACATGGCATTTATTTGGAATTGGATCATGTTTAAAGTCTTTACAATTGCTATGTGATAAAGTATATACAGTTAGTTTGGTGGTACTTCTGCTCTAAGTTGAGTACAGAAATCTGTTGAATATTTTTTAGATGATCTACAAACAGCGTGACATCTACTTCCTACTACTACTCTTTCTGTGCTGTTTTATAAATAGCACTTGAAGAGATTATTTCTGTTTTGTAATACTACCTTGCCTTCAAAACTTTAGAAATTACCAGCTTTTCAGCAAACAGGTGCACTAACCTCGAACATGCACGTAGTCATCTTAGCAAGTAAGTGCCTGCTCTCTGAGCTGGTTGTACTTGTGTTGGCAGTTTCCAGTTTGTGGTGATATTTTTATTGTGCTGGGACCGGTCCTGGCCAGCTCCAGTGGCAGGTGTGCCCCACAGACCTGGGCTGCCGCTGTGCAAGGGCTGCAGGCAGGACAGGATGCTCTTAGAAGTTGGATTTCTCTTTCTTTAGAGAAGCGTAGTGATGCTGGCAATATTGACTGCAAAATACGTCTCTTCAGGTTGGGGTGCTGATGTGACCTATTTGGAAATGCATTAACTTTTTGCAGCAACTAACTGAACCAATTATCATGTTTGCTGTGAAGAGAGATGGGAATGTGGCGTTCCCACCATTAAATATTTGACGCAGTTGAGGTCACATGAATATCTGGACTATGATGCTATTCAACTGCTGACAAACACACGGAATGACCTCTTATTGTGAAAAATTTGGTTGCTCTTTCCTTCTCTCCATGGTGGGTGCAAGAGACCTCACCCATAAAAAGAAACTGGTCCCTTTCCATCCTATCTGTGTTTAAAAGTCTACACAGTCACACTTATATTTACCCATAAAGAAATTTAAAAGGAAGGACAAGGGGAGGGAAAACTTTCTTTGAAAACTCAATCAACTCTTAAGATCATTTTGATGCTGCTGCTGCCAAATGGGGGATTTATGTAGGGATTAGAAGATGAAGATCTTTCTTACTGACAGTAACTCTAGCCAAAAAGACTTTTAAACATGTCATACGTAAGGGACTGCCTCTTTAAAATAAAGATCGAGTAATTTGAACAACCCTTGTATTTACTAAAGTTGCAACCCTATACATTTATCTCGGTAGCCTTGTGAAGGAAGGCACGGTGCAGCAGTAGCTCTTAATTAGTGTTTTTTCCAGGCCGCTGCAGTAAATCTGGTGGTTATGTGTGGCTCTGGCCATGGGTATTGTATTTTTAAGCTACAGTTTTCAACGAGTCTGCAGGTGTGTGTGAGGGGAGGTACATACAGACCTATGTTAAAAATTATTGCCAGTGCAAATAGGTTACAATCTACATGCCACGTGTTGAGAAAGAAACGAACGGGGTGAACAGCGATTGATGTGGGACGGTAGGTAGGCGCGTACATTTCACTGTACACCAGCAGCGCTAATTGTACGGTACAGTAAGTCTGACAGGTCTCAATCTTACATTGTGAAACGTGACATTACAGGGCCTCTTGCAGGCCAGGAAGGTGTCGCTGGAGAGGACTCTGTGATGTAGCCCTGTGGTGAGAGAACTGTAAGCCAAATGCTGACATTTCAGAATTTTACTGTACTTTGCCATATGACCTTCTGTTGTTGGCACCAGAGAAGGTAATTTATTTCTTTTCCCTGGTTAAGAAAAGGGACAAGGAGAAATAGCATGAGAGCTGATCTTGGAGGAAAGGGGGTCAAAAGCTCCAGCTGCAGCAGAAAAGAGGAAAATTTCTACAGCAGTACTGGGAAGTGACAGGCACGTCACTGATGACAGCAGGCTGCAACGAGAGGGGAGACTAGGTTTTGATGAAAATATGCTAGCACAGCTTAGCAAATCCTGGGCAAAATCCTGTAGCGAAAGTAAAACTGACAAGTAACTGGCCAGTTTAGAGAACTATTTTGAGCTCAGAATGGGAACACAGTGTATGTAAATCATGAATTACTGTTGTCTTGTGCACTCCAGTACTACCTCACACAAGGTGTTACATAATAGAGCAAGGATTTACTGTGGGGGTGGGTTTGCGAGTGTCGGGGTTTTACAAGGCTTTTTTTTCTAGGTGAGTTAGATGACTGAATATCATTCAATTTATTGAATAGAGAAGCAGCAAGCTGCTTCTGAAGATGTTCTCAGATACAGATCTGCCTTTCAGAAAAACAATATTAAGTAATAGTGTTACTCCAGATGCCAAAGGAATTTACACAGAACATGAGAACATCCTTGTCTCGAATTGTAAATATTTCTCATACCTCTGTTCAGTTTTTATAAAGGTGAGACTGTGTATTTCTACATTTTTTCTACTTCTGTGCTGTAGCTACAGAAGATCCTTTTTTAAGTATTCTTTTTCTCTCAATTGTGTTGCTTCTGCTTCATATTACAGAGAAGTTACACCATTGAATTTATGATTTTCCAGTTACCTCATGGCAGAACATAGGTGTACTAAAACAAAAAAAGACCATGGTTCAGGACCAAGTGAGAAGCGAAAAGCAGGCAGTGGAGAACAGGTTATATGAGAAAAGACCAGGGACCAGAGATGTCAAACACCACTGAGTCAGCTTGGGGCCATGTGGGCTAAGCTGAAAGTTGGCCAGCTCCTGTGGGAGGAGGGCAGGGCAGGGCAGTGGTGAGGGCTGGTGTCTGCTCTGTTCTGAGGGAACCTGTCACCTCAGGTGCCTTCAGTTTCTGTCTGCTAGTGCCAGAGAGCGTAAGTAGCTCTTCAGGAGCCAATGCTTGTCCTTATGGCTCCTGACTCCAGCTAGACCCAAGGTGACCCTGTGGATTACGAGGAGGTGGCAGCTCTTCCTTACATTTGATTCTGCCTCCAGACCCACCACTGTAATTCCCCATTTTGAATAAGGCTGTCCATAAGAGTGGGCAGAGGTATTTGATTGATTGATTGATTCCCAGCTCTCTTGCTTTGAAACTGTCAGAGACAGGGGCTGCTGCTGCCACAATGTCCGTAGATAAATAAGTGTTCACTGCTTTGAGTGGCTTGTGTACAACTGTTTGAACACTCGGGCTAACGGTAGGGCCGCATGGCAGTTTGGATTAAAACATTAAGCGTGAATTAATCAAGATTACAAGACACAATTTGGAATAGAGGAGGAGCAGCAGTATTTGTGAGGCTGTCAGCGTAGAGCTGTGTTTCTATGTGTGAAGGCAGGATGAGTTAGATCTGTAAGCAGTCCGGGATCACAAAGATGATAAACATCTTGGGATGAGAACATACTGGGTTAGAGGTGGCACGGTTGGCTTTATCTTGACATCCAGCTGCCTGCTCTGTTACTTTAGGTAAGTTGCAAAGGTGTCATTTACTCCATCTGTACAGTGGTAGGCTGTGATAGGCTTACTTCGCTGTAGAATTGCAGAATACTTCAGTATAGTCAATGAGGAGTGGTTAAGGCTATAAAGATATATGGATATGTACTTTGTACGCGTGCTTATGGTTATAAATAGGATTTGTATGCTGACTTCTTTCTAGAAGTATACTCATTAATTTTAACTTTTAATGCTGAGGTATGGCAGGCTGTGTGCTCTTTGTCTTAGGCAAGAAGAAATTGTTTCTGGAAATAAAATACTAACATGTAATTTTAAAGGTAAAATGGCGAAGGTGTAGTTTTGTGAGGTGTCCTTGTGACATCTGCTAAAAGGTCTGGAGGCTGTTATGTGAGGGTGTGTTCGCAGTGTACGAGATGAAAAAGCGTAACCTGATGCCAAAACTTAAATAAATGATGTGAGAATTTGCTGAAGTGTTATTCATAGGTTACTAAGGAAGTAATTTAAAACTCTCTTTTTACTGCTCTTTTTAGGTAATATTTCGATAATCACATTACCAGTTTCCAGCACCAACTCCCCAACTAAGATTTTGCCAAAAACCTTAGGACCAATCAATGTGAATGTTGGACCCCAAATGGTAAGTTTTGCAACTCCAGTAATGCTAACTTGTGTAACTAGCTGCGTGACTTCCTGTTGATGTAATATGGAAACATGAAAAACAAAGATGTGAACAGTGCTAGGAACTTGCCGCTTCCTGCCCCAGCTGCAGAGGCTGCTGAAGTCCCCACCTGGATGGGAAGGTGATGACGGGTGGGTACAGCAATCTTGGCATGCCAGAATTGCCACTCCCACGGCCAATCTTGTGTGACCTTAAGGGATACCTGTCTTCCTGACTTTGAATGAAAAATGAAACAGCTTTACCAGTTGACATTTTAACTATTACTCAAAAGTGTATTAAGAAAAAAAAAGATCTCATTAAGAATGTTATTGATAGTCTTTGAATATTTTGAGTCCTGTTCTCACCAGTAAATCTCCAGCATTGCCAAAGACTAAATGTCTCAGATGTGTCGCTAGAGATTTAACTTGAAACTACTCTTCTTAAAACTCTCTTTTCCCGTCAATGACAACTGTATATGAGAGTATATTGGTGGTTTAGGGATATTGGATCTGGTTTTGAGAAAAATTTTTGGTTTTCTGGTGGCCAGAGAACTAAATAGGCAATACAGTGATCTCTTCCTAGTAACCTGATGCCTACTTGCCAAGCACTTAGCCTAAGCGCAAGAACCATTTAATGTGTTTTATAAATAATTGTGGTGGGTCTTTTTCACATCAGAAGTTATTACTGTTCTTCAATGGCTTTTATCCCAGTTGGACAGAGGGGCACACACGTTACAGCCAGGCCCCCCAAAGCTGCATCCTCCCCTGTGTAGAGCTCTCCATCTGAAGTACTAGCCATGGGCTGTCTACCACAGAGTAGTGTTCCTTAGTGCATCGGTACTGAGGCAAGTATTGCTAGAGCATGTGCCCTACAGCGTTTCCCTGGAATAGTTCTACTACAAAAGATTGATTTTGTGAGTGCAAGAAATAATAGCCAAGAACAGCGGAGAGCAGTCAGTTAATGCAGTGCCTACTCTTACAAGTGACTTCTCAAGGCCCTGCTCTTGGTTGAAATGAACCCCAGTTAACAGTTTAGGTTCTGCAGCAGGTAGAAGTTGCAAAAGTACTGCATGGTGTGAGACAAGTTTTGGGTTTTTTTGCTTTGTTGGGTTTTTTAATTCTTATTTTTAAATTATTTTATTCTGCTGCTTTGCAAGGATGGATCTTTAATAGCCGTTAACACAGGTCTCCTACGACATGCAGCATACGGCTGTGTTGTGTCCCAGACCGTTTCAAGGAGAACGTTCACAAGTTCTTAATAGTGGGAATGTTAACACTCCTTTAGCATCTCATCTGTGTTAGCAACATCCTGCTGCCATGAGGGGTTTTTGGCTTTTTTTCACCACTGTAGGTTGCAGCCCTCGCGGCTGCTCCAGGTCCTTCACGCAAGCACGCAGCCCCCAGGATCAGCGGAGAGGGCTGTTGGCTGGACAGTGACCACTGCTCTGAATCCCTTACGTATGTACATACATACGTATGTATGTACGGCTGTGCAGACGGTGAAATCGGCACAATTTGCAGGCTGTATTCTTGTGTATGCGTGTTTGTAACAGTTTCTTTAGGTTCAGTCTGTAGGTGTAAATTTAACAGCACAAGTATTATTGATAAAATGTTAGTGCTTAATTACAGGGATTTAACACATCCTGCACATGCTCTATTTGCTAAATTAGGGTGAGGTTTTCTTTTTCTTTTTTATGCTATGCAGTGAATTTATGTGATTTCTTCAGGCACACTGGAAAAATGTTTGCTGTTAAGATGGAATTAGTCCTCTGAGAATACGCAGTGTAGCATTTTTTGTGCAAGCAAACATTCATTACTAAGTTTAAGAGTGACACTGAAGTAACACTGATTCGTATACCTGTGACATCTGTGTCCCTGCATCCAAGAACTTGCAGCTGTAACAATAAGCTGTAACGAGATGGATTTTTGTGCTGGCGCAACTACCGCCCATCAAGCGGGTGCTGCCCGAGGGGTGGCTGCCGTGGGGCAGGGGCTCCCTGGGCCGCGCCGCCGGTGTCCGGTTCCACTAGATGGCACCAAGGGATGGAAGGACGGGGGACGCGTCGCTCTCGGAAACGCCCCGACACGATTTTGCCACCTCAGTTTGTTGTAGTGGTCGTCACAAGAAAATTATGAGGAGACTGGACGTAACGTACTCTTTGATGACACATTTGATCTGTGATTTACAAGACATCAGTAGAGCAACGTGAAACTTCAGAGAGGGTGGAATGTGGTGAAATGCATTTCAGTATGCAAAATATTTAAACTCTTTTCTCCCTGGCATGCGTCTGCCATATGCTGGCAGAACCATATGCTTACTGCAAATAAACATTATTTATAGCGTTGCAAGAAACTGATATAAAAAGTTACTGGATTGGATTGATGTTTAATTTAAATACTGCATTACCGATTCTCACTTACATACTGGTGTTACACCAATGCTGAACTTAAGCAAGCTTTGAAAAATTAATCATTCTATCACAAAATGTTTCTGACCTTAAGCCAATGTAGCAGTGAGTTGATAAAAATTGACACCTTTCCTGTGCCTGCATGCAGTGTGTAAAGTAGCCAGCCAGGGATCTTTTGCTCTCCAGTATCAACCAGTAAATACCTAACTTGTACCTGTGTTTTGGTTTTCCTAAATTTCTGTTTTCACTTGTTTCTGTCAAGCTATCCGCTTGCAAAAATAAATAAGATAAATTTATGTCTTTAAGATAAAAAATACATACATGTAATCATGGTGTGGTGTCAGGAGGGATGTGAAGTAATGCTCAGTGAGCTGAGGAAATGGGAAGGTCTTCAGATAGCGTGTTTTGTACTTGTTTAAACAATATTGATGGATACCAAATGAAGTATCTGTTGTATACTTAGCATAGGTGTTGGGTAAGTTAAGTAGTAAAGGAAACTACAAAGTTTAATACAGTAGATACTCAAAATGTCACTAACAAATGGAGTAAAGTAAAATAAAGTTTAAAAAAGCAAAATAAGGTATATGAGTAAAAAGCATTGTCCAAGAAGCTTTGGTGTGAATCTTACCGTACTGGAATCAAAATAATTTAACATGTGTTTTATTTTAAAGATTAACTAATTAATACTGTTTCATTTTTAAATACTATCTAAATTCTTCCGGTAACCTACTTTAAAGAATGAACTTAGATGTGATTTAAAAGTTGAGACCAGGTGTCTTAGTGTTAACAACCATTGTACATGCAATTTCACCAAATTTTAATAAATGTAAATTCTGTCTCCATTGCACAGACTTTACATGTAATTCCATAGGTACAATGTTGTATTATTAGCTTGCCGGAATGCCTTGAGATCTTGTGAGTGCTAGAAACTGCACAGAATACTTTGCCTGCAGCTCAGATCGTCTTTGGTACCACAGACAGACAATTGCAAGAGACAAAACCATTGGAAAGGAGGCTTTATTGATTCCAATGATCAAGAAATTGCCTAGACATACTCTCAGAGAAACAATTAGATGTATATAGGTACAGATCCTATCTGCCATACCTAGTAATTATTTCTATTTGTCTAGATCTTATCCATATGAATAATACAGTCATATGCACAATTAGTAGAAAACTTAACGGCATTGTAATTAGTTTCATGTGTGAAGATCTTCTGATGACATCTCTTCTGTATATTTTGACTGCAGCTTGCATCTGGTACAGAATTATTTTTTTTCTTAGTACCATGCTTAGTATGAATTTTGGGCTGTGGTAACCTCTGTTTCCTTAAGAGAGCTGTGATTTTTATTTCTAAATTTCATAGATCATAAGCACATCACAAAGACTGACCAATTCAGGGAGTGTTCTGATTGGGAGTCCATATAACCCAGCTCCAACAATGGTCACACAGACACACATAACGGAAGCTTCGGGCTGGGTCCCAGGGTAAGATTTTTGGTTTATTTAAAGATGTTTAAGGATCTGTTCTGATTTTTTTCCTTTATTTATACTGTTGTATCTGTATGTTGGCTTACGGCTTCCAGTTCTCGCACAACTAAAAGGAGTATGTTCTTTAGCCTGTCATGCACTTTTGATGTCTGGAGCATGTGAACACAGATACAAGCACCAGTCACTTCACTGTCTGTTTTAGTTTTGGTTTATGGCAGTGTCTGTTTCTTTGTGAAAATGGAGAGTCACAAATTCATGAGTCCTGTTAAAAGAAGCCTTTATTTTTTTCATAAGTTCATGGTATATCTAAGTAGCTTTGCTGTTGAGCGTATCAGCAGGTGCCAACAGGGGGACACACTGTCAGAAACACTTCAAGAGGCATTTAAGAATAAAGCTCTAATGGAAAATTTTGAATGTAATCAATGTTGTATTTTTATTACTATTTTACAGTAGCAGCAAGTTTTCATGGGGTTCTGAGGTACTCCAGAGTAACATGACTGTCTCTTCTAAGGAAATCTGGTCTTTACAGTATTTCATTATTTTTTTTTTTTTTAGTACCAGTACAGCTGAGCTTATCTGTCTCAAGACAGGTGTAGTGCTTTGCCTCTGAAAATTAAGAAGTAATTTATTTCCGTATCTGGGTTAATTTTTCTAAACAGGTGATGAATGTCAGTAATACCGTTCCAGCTTTAGAGGTGGGAAAATGGAGCATCTAGGACATGGCAGAAATGAGAGTATAATGTTTGTACCTTGACTTTCTTCATTCTGTGCTGTAAGCAAGGACTGTCATAGGCTTGTACTTCCCAGTTGCCGTATTCCCACTATAGCGTCAATAAACTGCATGCCTGGCTGAGCAGTTTTTAAGCTTGATTTTTTTGCTGAGTACATGTTTATCTCCTCAAATACCTTTTGAATCTACTTAGTTTTGATTTGATTTGAAAAAAGAGTTGTCAAAGATTACTTTGTTTCTGCAAATTTTGTGAAATGTGGAGGCCAGGCAGAAGTTCTTTCAGTACCCAGAGGAGGGAAAAGCTATAGTGTCTGTTCACGGCTTGCTAAACCAGTGAATCAATGCCCATTAGCTTTCTTAAGCTTCATCCAAACCCAGGTGATGGAGGTTCCCTGAGAGAAGCCTAGTTGCAGCGCATCAACCACCACCACCGAGAAGCACCATCCTTCTGTTTGTATACTGTCAAAATCTAGACACGGTATTTCCAATGAGCCTAACTATTGTTTCGCCGATAAAAAGGAGCGAGGTGTTCTCCAGACTGGCCGATCAATATTGATCCCTGCAGAAGTCCATACGATAGGTCATAGTTTAATCTGAAGAACAGAGGTGAGGAAGGGTCTGTGGTATTGCCAAACCGAAGCGGTGAGCCCTTGCTGAAGACAGTTCCTGAGGACTGCAAGTCCAGACTCCTTGCTTTACCCGTTGTTTACTCCTCTTCACAGATTCCAAATTGTTTCCAAAATCAAATGAGACAAGAGCATATTCATTCTCAGAGCTCCATACAACCTCCGTCAGCTCTCCATTCGCTGCCGCTCCAGCCCCTCGCCCCAGCTCCGCTGCATTCAGACCCCCCGTTGCGCAGCGTGAGCGGTTAAGCACCATGGACAGGGATTGCCAAAGAGAAAAGTCCGACTGTTGCTGGCGGGGAAGACGTCTGCTGATGGGTTCTGGATCGCACAAGCAAATACATGCAGGCTTTCATGGCACAGATCTTCAAATCCATCATTTTTGTTCAGCTCCCTTCATAACACTGTCAGGTTTTTAGCTGCGTAAGTATCTGCCGTGAGCCCTGGTTTTGAAACTGCAGGGTAACAACGTGAAGTGATTTACCAATAGTTCTCAAGCAATGTGCATTGTATCAGCTGCAAGAATAAAAGACAAGTTTGGAATACAACTTCTGAAGTCTGCTTGCTGTAGCTAATAAACAGAACAATAAGGAAACCGGCAATGATTGGTGACTGCTACTCCTGTGCAAAATTCATGTCAGCTACTTCTTCGGAGTATCTCTCTTCAGTTCTGTATGCATCAGCTCTAATATGAATGTATTTAGTGTTGTACCTTGTTTTTTGTTTAAAGATACTAAACATTCAACGTCCTGAAAATACAGGAGATATCTTAGGCACTATTTAAAGGCATTTTTCTTCCACCTGGAGGAATTTTAAATAGGAATTTTCAAGGGAGCCCAGCTTCTCCTTCTTGATGGGATTTGGTTATCTAGCTCACATCAGCACTTCTATAGTTCCAGATGAAGTGACTTCCCTAAAATAATACAGGCAAAGCCTGGTAAAATTTGGAATAGAACTTGTCTGGCAGTGAGCTCAGACAACCTCTAAAGTCCTAATCACCTTCTCTCAAATATTGTCAAGCCGTGTGTGTGCTATTTTCCTCTTTCAGTAAACATGTAACAGCAAACATTAATACCCAGCTAGGCCCCAAATACATTGATTTTGTTGGTCTAAATATATAATGTTATTTTCATCTAAGTTTGAATTGTCTTTTCTTAGGGACAGAAAGCGGACTCGAGAATTTATAGAATCAGATTTTTCAGAAAGGTGAGTATTATTGAACATATATATATATTTTATGTATACGGTGATACCTGTTTTACTTCTTCAGATCAGCCTTTCAGAGAGATAGATGTCCAGTTACCACTTCCAGCAGTTTTCACTCCTCCTTGTAAAAGCTATGTTGTATGTTACTCCTTGTAGTTATAAGTCATTACTCTCTGCTTTATCACTTCCTGATAAATACATTTGCTGTTACAGATGATACTGAGAGTTGTGAAAAACAAACAAAACACATCTTCAGAAACAGGATTATTCTAGTTTTCAATGTGACAAATACTTGTAAACAGATGTTCTTTTCCTTTCCTTCTGAAACTTCTCTGAAAGCATTCAAGGTCGTTTTATTTGTTTACCTATCCAGGGTTACTCAAATTGAATAACTGCGTAGGGATTAGGAGTGGGTTGTTTGGGGTTTTTTTTAATCTTCTGATGTTCCTTTCTACTCTTCCTTCTGTCCTTCTTTCCAGCGTTCTGTTTTTTTAAATACATTCAAAATTTTGAAAACCATTCTTGTATTTTGATGTTTTCGTTAGCTTGTTACTGTTGACAGAACTAGGCCATTTTCTGTAGAATAATAGACCTCCCTGAAACATATTATCAAACCAACTTGTAAAACTGTAATTAAAAAAAAAAAACAACGCAGCTGAGCTTTTTAAAGGCTTCTGTTGAAATACGCAGCCAAATCTAGCTTGTGTGATAAAACCAATTGCTCCTGTTTTTTCCATTACCATTATCTAAGCTCTTGCTTTTCTGGAGGAAGAAGGTGAACGGAAAATAACCCTGCCAGTTGCCAGTTATTAATTTGGCTCCGTAAAAACCAATGAATATGTACTTACTCTCCACAAAAGAGAGTCTTGTATCTCAGTCTTAACTACGATGGCACAGATATTAAACTCGGTTGTTAGGAGAATTAAGGTATCTTCTGCTGTAAACAGGGATGTCTGAGCCTTTCTATTTTAAGCACAAACATGAGCGTTCCCTGTAATTCTGGCTTCCAGGCACATAAACACCCTGTGGGGTTTTCCCCCCTTTTTTGGTTGCTCTTTTGTGAAACTACACGGAGACGAATTACAAATCCAGTTTTTCAAGCATCTGCCCAATAGAATGGGTTCAAATACTATCAATGTAGAAATAGATGAAAAAGGGGAAAGGACTCCAGTATATTTTTTTGCCAACTTGTAAGAAACAAGAAACTGATTCAAAAAAGCAGAACAGTTTTATTATTCATTTAGGTATTACATACTGTCATGAGTCCTGATTCCTGTTGCAAAAGGTAGAACTTTTGCTGTGTAACAAAGTAGCTTATTAACATCCAGTGTATTAAAATAATTACTTTTCTCCTTCCAGTAAGAGAAGCAAAAAAGGAGATAAAAATGGGAAGGGTCTGAGGCATTTTTCAATGAAAGTATGTGAAAAAGTTCAACGTAAAGGAACAACTTCATACAATGAAGTCGCTGATGAGTTGGTATCAGAATTCACAAATTCTAACAGCCACCTAGCTACAGATTCGGTAAGCAAATATGTGTTGAGATTTGTTATACCATTACAAAATTGTCTGGTTTATCATGGAATTCTGTCCCTTCTGTTTCTGCACTGTCCTGCCACACTCCATACTTCACTCACTTAACTATTTCCCAAATATGAAGACTTACCCTCTGAAATTTAAAAATACAGAATTAAAATGAAGAATTGAACTACCTCTAAATTATAAACAAAACAGAGAAGTCTGCCAAAAGAATTCTCTTTAAAAAAAGGCTACTCTTGTACCCACCATCTGTGGTCTTGTCAGGTTTTTCAACTGTAACAGACTTGCCTTGATGGGAATTTGCTGCACAGAGGCTTCAAGCAGGTCTGAAGCTTCCATTTGCAACCAAACACACTTATGTGTTATCCAGGAAGTAGCACAGATGAAAGCATCATGTTTTATACCACTCTGACTTGAACAGCCATTTTGGCTTTTTATCTTCTACGTATCTATGAAGGACGTTTTCCTTTTTTAATTCTTTTGTTGTAATTAATGCTGCATTGTTTTCTTAGCAGGCTTATGATCAGAAAAATATTAGACGGAGAGTTTACGATGCCCTTAACGTCCTGATGGCCATGAACATAATTTCAAAGGAGAAGAAGGAAATCAGATGGATCGGCCTTCCTACAAACTCAGCTCAGGAATGTCAGAATCTAGAGGTAAAGTGAGGTAGATGGCAAATTCTGTATAGTTCACAGGTTGTGATAATGGAGCTGCTCTACTTCAGAAGAGGTTTTTTTTCTCAGTTTGAACCTGATTGGTTTTTATTCTTGCACACTATGAAAATACAACTTTTAATATTTGAATAAACTGAAAGGATATGTTCATGTATGCTTAGTTCAGTTTTATTTAGTATACATTACACGAAGTTTAAAAAAAAAAACCCAAAACTGTTTACCTTACAAAAATGGACATTGATTAAATCAGGGATTACTTTTAAGATTAAAGTCTGTAGTAGCCTGAATTAACCAGAAGAAAGTCAAAAGAATTTATGGTGCAGTTATGCTTACAAAACGGTATACATCTGAAAGGAGACCAATTTTCTATTAATATCTGTACTTGGAAATACCATTCAAAGGAAATTAAATTGAAAAGTAATTCCTGCTAGGATGTCAAATACTAGTTATGAACTGGCAGGGAAAAAATGAAGTTTTACTGATTGGTTATTTCCATTATTTTTCCAGCAGGCTAAGAGTTACCGTGTTTTTGCAGGGATGCCAGAATTTATATGCACAAATGTTGCTTGTCCTTCAGGCCAAATGCTCTATAAATAAAAAGCACAAGTTACTGTATTTACTGCAGAGCACTGTAATGACTGTCTCTAAATACTTCTTCATATGTATTATATTTGTGATAGTTGTGACATTAAATATCTTAAAAGGTGGGTGGGGTGCCTCTCCAGTTCAGAACAATTTTTCTTGTGTCAATCGTCTTTCTAGATGTGGTAAGAACAAAGCTTTTACTATCCTTGTCCATTACAGCAACTTGGAAAATGCATCTACCCAAGGAGTATGCATACGCTGAATTGTTAACACTCCAGGATTCTTTTTTTAAAAAAATTATGGATAAATCTACATTTTACATGCATTCATGTGAACGCATTATCTTCAGTACAGATTATTGTTACAAAGACGGAACCTGAATTTCATTGTGTCATCTACAGTGATCATATGCTAGTCACTGTTTCAGGCTCTAATTACATCTGCACAAAATGGAAACCAGGCATATGTTCTGAAAATGTTGCTTCCTGTGACATAATAGAAAAGAATAGAAAATAAAGCTGCATTTTCATGGTGTGAAAATCAGAATTAATTTTGCTTTTAAATCTGTATAAAGTGCCAACTCTTCTTATAGTGTAATTCCATAATAAGATTACCAGGACAAAAATGAGAAATCAGTACAAAAAAGTGTGTTACATAGAAACCATGTCTAAATTATATCTGTACTGTTTATTGGTTTTAAGAGTTATATATTTGTCCCAGCAAAGAAAGTCATCTACTGTGCTCTAAAGGAAGCATTTTAAACATTAAAGCTTAACATTAAAACATTTAATTAATGTTATTAATTAAATAACCTAACAGGGTTATTAAAACATTAAACATTAACACCACCGCAAAGCAACATTGTAAATAAAATGGGGGGGGGGGGGGGGGAAAAAACCAGCTAAGTTTTAAAAGATTGCAGCATTTAGTTTCAGCAGTTGAATGAAAAGGTAATTGAAGAGTTTCGTATTTTTGGGAGCAGTGGTACAGTGCTGGCACCAACAGGATGATGAGGAAAAATACCTTCTAAACACGATGACTACTGTCCGGTTCTTCAGTGTTGCCCCAGAACACCAGTTAAAATAGCGTTGGTTGTATCTGCCATGTCAGTAGGCACCCAGCACTATTGCTGTTCCTGACACTGCATACTTAGGTTGAAGATAGCTTTGCCCCATTAACTGGTATAAACAAAAGTGTTACAAGAAATGGATTCTGTGCTCATGTAGAAAATGTTACCTCTACCCGCTTTTTGTTTCTGAAATCTTTAATCGAGTCTCAAATGAGTAGTCCAAACAAAAAGTGGAGGTCACTGGAAAGATGCAGGTGATGATCTGAGCCCAGTCTCCACACATTTATGTCTAGCAGCTTGCAGCTAGGGGAACAGTGGACGGGATGTGCCCAATTCCAAAGGAGTGGAGGGCAGGAGGGGAAAAAAAAAAAACAACCCAAAACACTGCCTCAAGCCAAGTGTTTCATTTGGTGCTAATCGGCATTCAGTGCAGAATACAAAAGAGGTAGAATGGGTGGGGATATAATAGTCTCTTGTAATAATTGATTCTTTACTTAAGTTAAAATTGTTGACAAAGAAAGAAATTACCATTTGTCAGACCTGTTTATGGAGAAACTCATGTGACTGTGTGATTAGTCTGTTTGAAAAAGAAGAAAATATATGGCAAATGGGTAGGGCCAAAAGAGACTTGTGCAATTTACTTGCCGTGCCATGGAATTCACCACCATTTACAAAGAAAGTATGGATTTTTGTAACGGTGCTAGCACACTGAGGTAGCTCTAAAGCCTGTTCAGTTTGGCGCAATGGAACAGAGAAGGTAACTAAGTAATAACCTTGATGCATTTACATTTATATTTTAAGATAGAAAAACAGAAGCGGATTGAAAGGATAAAACAGAAGCGAGCCCAACTACAAGAACTGCTCCTGCAGGTATATTTAATTTTAAATATTTTTTCCATAAATGAAATTATCAAGTGCAAATCCGACATGTTAAAACTTCTGAAGTTCTTTCTAGATTTATTTAGCAGCTATGACACACTAGGGAGGAAAGTTTCACACTTGTGACCTTTCTGCATTCTAGCAGGGGGACCTCTTCGCTTTTTACCTATTGTAAAACAGTGTGCTGCATCTGCGCGCCACAATGTTTTGTAAGTGTTCTGCTGAAGCTTTGTCAACATGAGTGGAAATGGGAACAACTCATGAGTTCCCTGTGTTGACTCCGAGTCCCCCCCCAGAGTAACCTTCTCTGAGTAGTTCTTGCTGGAAAATTTCTCTTTGTTTCTAAGCTGTGAAATTTACAACTGAACTTGTGTAAATATGTACAGAGTTGTTTTGGGGGAGATAGACACTTCTGGATCCTAAGAACGGAAGGCTGACAAATCCAGCCCTGACATGCACCTTTGAGATGACTTGAGTTTTGGCTTTGATTGCAGAAATACATTTCAAACGCACCTTTGCTTATAAAGTAACATTTTATAAATACAGTTATGAGCATTCTTAAGTGTTTTGGTCTGTGCAGACTTTCAGTAATTCAAATGCAATCAAACTTTTTTATGAGGTTACAGGCAATAAGGCTGTATTTTCTCTCCTGGTGTAACTATATTGATACACTTTTCCTGTAATTAGATATGCAGTGACGCTTTTAAATATCTGATGCTTCTCGTTTTTGCATCACCAAAAACTGTTTCTCTACTTAAGGGACAATTCTGATTCTATGTGTCTGACCTAATAAATTAGCAGCTTCTCTAAGAGTAACATGAAATTATCCTGGTGAAGATAAGGCAACTCAGGCCTTCTTAACTGTTAGTCTGAAAATGACAAGAGTTGCACTCCCTTACTATCTACAACTGTCATTATTTCCTCAATTATGTTCATTGTCAAATGGTTTACCAGGCCTTCGGGATTCTGTCTAACATCTTCCCCTTAAGTGGAATAAGTAGTGCCTCAAAGAGGGCAAGTACACTGACTTGCAGTCCCACAAATAACATTTCCTAAAACCACACATTTTCATACATGTGCAGTCAGACACAAGAGTTCAGCAGAGAGCGAGTGGTGTCACGGAGGGCACCTGTTTAAAAACTTTCAGAGGAGAATTTCAAAACTGACTCTTGAGAGTGAAAAGAGGGCGACGGATGAGAAGGAGAAGAGAATATGGATCATGGGAAGCGGGGGAATGCTGTAACTTCTGTTAACTTCTGTTTCAGTGTAACTAGCTCTTAGTCTGAGGTAATTATGCATATAAAATAACAGAGGAGACCTCTGACTCCGGTGCCTTTTCAAAAGGAATGGGGAACCATTCTCCACCGAGCTTTATTGCTCCTTTCTTGTTTCTTCTCCAGGGATTGTGAGGGGGGCATAACAATTAGGATATGTGTGAAAAAATTGTGTTTAACTTCTGTTCCTGGTGAGCTTCACTAGTGCAAAGAGGAAGTCAGGCCACAACTTGCTTTTTGACAGAAAATTACAGGAGGTGTTGAGAGTTGGTAAATAAGAGCTATAAAGTTCCATTTTACTGGAAACACTGATGTCTTCTGTTGTCAGTGATCATTTTTTCTTTCTTTCTTTCTACAGCAAATAGCATTCAAAAACTTGGTACAAAGAAATCAGCAAAATGAACAACAGAATCAAGGCCCTCCAGCTTTGAACTCAACAATACAGCTGCCTTTCTTAATAGTCAACACTAGCAAAAGAACAGTTATAGACTGCAGCATTTCAAGTGATAAGTGAGTGTTTATGGAATCCATTTTTAAAATTTTATTTTCTTTGAAGAAAAAATCCAGTCCACAAACAAATGAGAGAGATTTTTCTAGTTTACTAAAAGTAATTATGTATTTAAATTTGCTACTGTCACTTGGGGGGGGGGGGGGGGGGTTTAATATTTAATGCAACCGCAGTAGTAATAAGTTCATCAACATTGCTTTACAACCACAGGCTGACTTTCACTGTTGTAAAGGCACTTCAGAATGACATTTCAGAGAGCATTCACTGCACAGCAGAAATAACTGAATTAAATTATATACTAGGACAGCACTAGCTTTCAGTGAAGCCATGTGGTAGTGCTTTGGAATTCTTATTCCTAATATACCATAAAAGTATTTAGTCAGAAACACAAGGTGACCTATGCAACACAAAAGTAACATCCTAGAGGTGATAATAACTTTAATAGCAAAAAAGTTGCACCTCGCTCTTTGAAGGAGAAAATGAAGGAAATGATACAGAAATTTGAAATACTGTCTTTGTAAGCAAACTGCTATAGTTGCACTCTTATATTAATCTGAAAACCTTCCTCTTATGTACTTCTGGGTGCTTATGCTCTTCACCCTGTGAAAATATGGCTGAAAGTATGAGGTACTGTTATGTTAACTGTTACTTGGATCACAAGTAGTTTATTAGCTGAAAATAGCTGGCTGGCTTTGCTTTAATGCTGTAGATTACAGATTTCACTCTGTGCTATACAAATCCCATATAGAACTTCAAGTCAATTAACATACAGCAAAAATAGACAGTCTCCAGTAACATAAGCACCAACATGCAAAAAAGCAATACTATTAAAAGCTGGATTTTTGTAGAAGATTGGACTGAAGTCCAATACATTCTGTCACAAAGCTTCTGGAATACTCGCATCAGCACTGCAGTTCAACAAGTTGGGAATTTTAGGATGAATATTGGTTTACCTTAACTATACCCCTATTTTATAGGCATACTGTATAGTTCTTACTGCACTTTTGAACGGTGCTCTATATTTAGATTTAAAGTCATTAAAAAGTTGAATAATTTCATACTGAAACTTCAGAACTGCTGCTCTGAAGTTGTCAGAGATTAAACTGGCATTTGGGATCTAGAGAAATGTAACACGCTTCTACAATCTCAAACTGTAAGAAAACACTACTACTAAAAATGAGCACACCAAAATTATTTAAGTTGTTGATATTTCAGTTTATATAACCCAGCTTCAATGTTACTATCATCTGGAGATCATTAAGTGTACAACTAAAATTAAACAAGCTTTCTACTGTGGTTATTATTTGTGCAACTGAATAGTGGCAGCAGCAGTATGTAGATAGATAAACAGTGCCAGAAACTGCTAGTGTTTAAACCCCTGTTACACTGATCTGCTAAATAAGGCAGTTGGCAGAAATGGTCACTCCATTTGGAGAATTCAAATTCTGTAGTTTATTGGAAAGTGTTTGCGCTGCCTAACCCCATTCGTTACTGGTCAACTTTAGTGCCTGCCGTTCACTTGGTTTCAACCTCAGTTAATAACCCACTGTTGTCACGGGCTTCCATTTTCCTTTCTTCTCCCAAATAACATTTACATACAGCATTGGTTGGTCAGTATTTATGATGCAACAGCAGGTGATGTTAGAAAGTCCAACGAACAGATAAGCTCACAGCATTAGCTACTCAAAATTGTATTTTACAGAGGATCTTCCAAAAGAAAATAATTGCTTGGAAAATTGGTACATATAAGGGGGATTTAGGATGATGAGGAACATATGTTTGTGTCTTCTAAGGTTTTTCCTATCCAAGAACAGGCTTTATCTAGCCAAAACAGAATGAAATTTCTCACATGTAAAACAAAGAGGTTATTGGGCAAGTTTTGTTCAGAGTTTGAGAAGGCAGATGGGTGCCAAGCAGCATACTGGGAGTGACATTTCTGAAGTTGGAGTAAAGAAAAGCAGAGTCTTCAGATAAACAGGAAGAACTTAAAAATTATGTTGAAAAGATGAGGCACCTGAACAGGAAAAAAATGTATTTAGTGTATATGGTGCTTCTATATAAATGCTGTAGGTCTTAGAAAAAGAAAAAAAAAAAAAAAAAACAGAATACCTAGTTTTAAACAAGCATTCAGACACAATAGATGTATCAGAAACTTGGAAAATTAGAACATCTCTATTCTAATAGGAGATGGAGATGATTTTGCCATTGGAGACACAGTGCTCTACATTAGCGAAAAAGTGTAGGAAGTAGGCTCTTGTACCCTCAGAGAAAGAATTGCCCGCAAGAGCAGAAAATCCAGATTAAATTCATTGTTGATCAAATTTGTACTTATGTGGGAAAGGGACAGGAACCATACCCAAGCTTTGCATACACAGTGTTGGCCTCTGGACCTAGCTTTTAGCACTGAATAATACGATGGCAGCCCAGTAGATCATTCCATTGGAACAAAAGCTGATTTCTCAGCAATGGCCAAAATAATGCTGGGAATTATTAGGAAAGACAGTAAGAAATACAATGTAGAACTAGGTGCGTATAGTGCTTTTATATCTGGAATACTGTATGCTGTCTTGTTCTTGGAAAGAGTATCACATAACCAGAAGAGAGACACAGGAGGGCATCAAGAATGCCTGAAGCTATGAAGAGGCTTTCACAGAAGGAGCAGATGGACTCTTTGGCGTAGAAGAGAGGACAGTGGATTCACAAGTGTCTATAAAATCATGGATGATGTGGGGAATGTGCACAGGGAACAGCTGTACACTTCAAAATATTAAAATTTAGATACTTTAAGAGGAGATACCAGGTGACAGGTTTTAGACAAAAAGAATGTAAGTGGTTTTGTAACAGTCTATGCAAATCATAGCATTTGATGTTGTTCATGCCAGAAGTTTACATAAGTTCAAAAAGGGGTCATGTCAAGTCCCTGAAAGAAAACTCTCAAATACCTATTAACAGCAAAGGTAGAAGTGTAGGGACTTCCTATGCCAGAGGCTGCAGGTTGCTAGAAACTATACTGGAGAAATACTACCGTAAGTTTGTTTGTTTGGAAACTTTTAGGGAAAAAAAGGAGTTACGCTCCTTTCTAGCATCCAGTATTTGACCACAACGCATGGGAGGAGAAATGCAGAGCTATCAACAAATACAGCCTTTAATCCTGCACTGTAAAAGCTGCATTCAGTTATTACTTAGTTCACTACAGGGCTTGCTGGTAGTAACTCGGTATGACACTGGTCTCCCATCCTCTGTCTGTGTGAACATAGTTACCTGACTTCAGCTGCACCAGGCTGGGTAGCAGGACTG